CCAATAAGGCAAAATTTTCTTTACTTCTTCAAACATTTTCTCTAAAGTATCTACATTTGAATCAGCTAGTAAGATATCATCCATATATTAGGAAATAATATATTGAGGAAACTGTATATGAATTATTCCCAACAGCTGTCTTACAAAATATTGGCACAGAGTACGGATGTTTAACATCCCTTGTGGGAGAATTTTCCATTGATATCTCTTAGCAGGCTGAGAATTATTGTAAGTTGGCATTGTGAAGGCAAATTTTTCCTTATCTTGTTCTTGCAAAGGTAAATTAAAAAAAAACAGTCTTTTAAATCAATCATTATAATAGACCATCCTTTAGGTAATAGAGAAGGTAAGGGAGTTCCAGGCTGTAAAGAGTTCATCAACTGAATCACCTTATTAACAGCTCTTAGATCTGTTGCCATTCTTCATTTCTCAGATTTCTTTTTAATAACAATACAGGAGAATTCCAAAGACTGACTGATTCTACAATATGCTGAGCATTTAACTGCTCCTGTACCAACTGTTCTAAGGCCTGTAATTTTTCTGATGTCAAAGGCCATTGTTCCACCAGACAGACTGGTCAGTCAACCATTTTAAAGGTAGGACTGTTGGTGCCTTTGAAAGATCAGCAGCTGTTGTGCCCTGTTTGTGTTGGGCACCAGATGATGCATATATCAAATTAATCTTATCAATAAAAAAATCGGGAGTCAAATATTGGGGTAAGAACCTAAAGATTAGAGAACTGGGAGCAGCCACCAGCTGCTTCCCACCTCTACCGTTCCTCCATCCAAAAGGGCAGAGGTCCTCTCTCTACCCACCTTATCACTTCCTGTCTCCTCTCTATACAGACCTCCAGACCTCTATGGTTAACTAGTAGCTGGCTCCGCCCTCTGACTCCAAGCAAGCTTTATTTGTCACAACACAAACAGAATATCACACAACACAGGTTCCTGCAAAGCTATGACAGGCAGCCTCCAGGACCTGCCTCAACACTGTGGCCAGCTTCTCTTCCATTTGTCTTCTGTCTTACTTGTGACTGGGTACCAGGCACATTGAGAGCCAGTCCTGGGCGGGCATATGTAAGAAGTGAAAGTCCAAGTGCCTTCTGCAGCCCCAGTGAGAAACCACAGTTCTGTAGCAATTGAAATGCTATTAAGTGTATAAAAAACTATTTCTAAAGGATTGAGGTGAAATCAAGGACACACACACACACACACCCTGCCCCAGGTTAGGCCTCTGGCTTTGTGCCTGCCCCCATTGCTCCGCTGCCTTTACTCTGTGTCTTATTACCTGCTGTTAATGTCTGTCTCTCCTAGAAGACTATGCTCCATGAGAGTAAGGGCCATATCTGCAGCCTAGAGCCCCACCTTGTAGCCTACTAGGAACCTGCTCAATAAGGATTCATTGGGTGTACATTTCAAATGTTCTTACAAATAGAATTTTCCAGTAAAAATACTTCATCATTTCTTATTGAAGTTTTCTGTCATTAGAAATATTTTCAATACTTTTGGAAATTAGATTAGTTAGTATTTTTTTGTCTTGTTACTTTGTATTTAGACACAGTCGTCCTTTTGTTGTTTATTATACTGAATTTGTAGTTCTCATTCCTGATTAAAAGATCCTAGCCTGGAGACCTTCTTAGCCTTGACCTTGAGGAACTGAGAGCTAGTTGATGCATTGGATAAATATGGCAATAATGGAGGTTCAGTTATTAGAAGATGGATCTAAGCATTGGGTAGCAACACAGTCTTCCCCCTACCCTCACTGTCCTTTGTACTAGCTCTGAAACCAATCATTTCTGAGTCAGCATGTAAACTACAGTATACTACACACAATCCATAGTTGTGCAGGGAGTAGTTTTTATCTCATGAGAGAAGGAAAGTTAGATGATGTAAAGTCATGTCGATCAAGGATAGGAACTGGTGTGTGTGTGTGTGTGTGTGTGTGTGTGTGTGTGTGTGTGTGTGTGTGCATGTGTGTGTGTGTGTACATATTTGTGTATACATGTGTATAGCAGATCTCTTCTACTGGCTCACAATGATGGGTATCCTCCTGTGAACACTAGGACTTCTGTATAATCTATCTGAATTTAAATTTAGCCAAGTATAATCCCTTAATCTTACAAACCAGCCACCAAGAAACTTTACATGAGATGAATATGAAGCTTCTTGTTTTTTAAAAAATACATTTCTTTAAGATTTTACTTGTTTGTTTGTTTGCTTTTTGAGACAGGGTTTCTCTGTGTGTAGCCCTGGCTGTCCTAGAATTTACTCTGTAGACCAGGCTGGCTTCAAATTCATGGAGATCCACCTGCCTCTGCCTCCCAAGTGCTAGGGTTAAAGGCATGCACCACCACTGCGCGGCTAAGATTTATTTTTATCTTTTTATTTATGTGTTGTGTGTGGCTATATGTGTGAGAGTGTAGGGGCCAATGTAGGCATGTGCTTTTAACATCACTCCAGCTCCAGGCATATTTTTTTCAATACATTGATAATGTCGCATTTTGTTATGTTGCTCTAAATATAAAATATGGCATTAGGCCTGCTTGGTTTATTTTTCTTAAGAACACAAATACAATAAAAGTATTCCAATATTTAGACTAACCTCTAAATCTAGACAGTTTTAAGGATTTCCTGACTCTTTGGGTGATGGCTTCATGAAGTTCCCGTACCTCTCCCAGTGGAAGTGAATGGGAGCTATTTAACATAAAGGAAGGGCCAGCAGTTGGCTAGTAAAAAATAATTATTGCCTATCTCAAAAACAGCTTGGGGAGGAAAAGGTTTTATCTCAGTTTACAGCTCTTCGGTCACACTCCATCCCTGAGAAAAGTCAGGGCAGGAACCTGGAGGCAGGAACTGAGGCAGAGGCCATGAAGGAGTGACAGTTACTGGCTTGCTCCTCATGGCTTGCTCAACCTGCTTTCTTACAGAACCCAGGACCAGCAGCCCAGGGATGGCATCATGCACTGTGCACCATGCACCATACTGCCCACCCCCCCATCAATCATCTATCAAGAAAATGCACTGCAGACTTGCCCATGGGCTGACCTGGTGGGCCCTTTTCTCAGCTGAGGTTCCCTCTTCCCAAATGTGTCAAGTTGACAGAGCGCCAGGCAGCATACTGCCTAAAAGCAAACACGAGTTTATCAGCAGAGGACAGCTGAGTGTGGAGGTGCCCTCGTTGCCTAAACTGGCAAGCTGGTTTAATCCAGCTTTGCAAAACCCAAGCATTTAGCATTGAGGAAAGTCACATCTTGGACCACATTTACCAAAAGATCGTATATCCAAGGCAGAAATGCTGGTGTGAATAACAGGCTTGGACACTCTGTAAATCCACGAAATTACTTTTCTTTTACCCCATGTAAATATTACTGGAGTGCCAGTCAATTTTCGTGTAGTGTTATCCCCTTTTCCCTGGCTCCGTTCATCCAAACGTGCCAAATAGTTGTCAACTATTTATACCGTAGCCTATTACAACCACATGTAATGCTCAGGTAGAGAAGGATGTTTTTCTTCGGCTCTCACACAGCTCATGCTAAAAGGCAACTTCTGAGTCCCTTACATCCTCCTAGTTCCTTCACCTGAAAAAGTGCAGGCTCTCTGAAGTAGTTTGATATTTATGGAATTTGCATTTTCTGGATCATTTATGCAACACTATGCTGGTAAGTGTTGATGAAGGGGATGCACAGCGCAGATATTCACATCTCAGCTCATTTATCTGTAGGCCAAAGACGAGCTTTAAGGCCCAGAAGAACCCACTGCAGTCATTACAGCTGGGAGGAGAGTACCATCCATTGTGACAGGCAGGAGCAAGAGTGCCACCCAGGCCTCGCAGAAGCCTTTCTGACTGCCTAACTTACACTGACAGGGAAGGAACTGGGTCCCCACAGTCCCTCAGTAAGCCTCCACCTGCTAGGCTTATTTAAATGAAGTCCAAGTTGAGCAAACCCGAATGCTCAACCCAACCGTCACCAATTTGCAGGTCTGCTTAGGTGTGTTTGCTGTTCTCCTCCTTCAGCTGACCAGGAGGGTGCTCCCATTGGATCTGACGGGGACTGTAGGTTCACATTCCATCCACTAGGTGAGTTATCAGAATACAGGCTATGTAACCTCTTGGTTTTTTTACACCTGGAAAATTATACTTCCTCATTCGATTGTTGAGAGAGAAGGGAATGACTGGTGTACACAGTGACTGGCCCATCTCTGGAGCTCCCACTAAACAATAACACTTGCTTTGGTTGGTTTGCTTGTTAGGTGTGTTTTGTCTGTGTGGTGTTGGTGGCAGTGGTGGCTCTTGTTTTGTCTGTTCCTCACAAGCCACTTGCGTTAACCCTCCTCTGAGAGCAAATGCCAGGGCTGCAGTAGCCCGACCTACTTCTCAGAGCCAGCATCAGTACTTCCCACATTGGAGGCGAGGGTGGAGGCGAGGGTGGAGGCGAGGGTGGAGGTGAGGGTGGAGGCAGCAGGTCGCTCCCTGGTGGACATTTGGCACTGCAGACACATTCAGGTGTGATAACCTGGAGGGTGGAGTCGTTGCTCCTGCCTTCTAGCGGGTAGAGTCCAGAGATGCTGCTAAGCATCCCATAGTGCATGGGACAGTCTTCCCACACTTAAAGATTTATCCAGTTCCAAATGGTAACACTGCTGAGACTCTGACCCACATCGGCACAACCAGTTCTAGAGACAGGGAAGTCACAGCAACCATCAAAATATCCAGCATAAACATTAAACTATCCATGAAGAAAAATAAGTATAAATAGCAGAGCCATCACACAGGCTGCCTGCTAAGTGGGTCTGGGTGGGGGTTCTGGGTTGTTTGTAGCAGTACCTCCATCCTTGCTTTAATCTTATAAGGCATGATGAAACCAATACTCTACATCACCTGTCTGGAACCTTCAGTGCCTTAAATCTTCTATTCATGGACTAAACATCTGGCTATAGGTGTGTATACATCTAGGGGCTGACAGACCGGACACTTAAAATATAGTGCACTCTATACATTGGTGTATATAAGGATGTTTATTATGTATACACTTCAGTGCATAAAACTATTATAAAAAAAAATCTGTGACAAAATCCAAACAAAGTCAGACTAAAGTTACCTTTCTTCAGAGACAGCACCATACAAACTACCAGTACAAACCATTTTAGACTATCCTTGGACCCTTCTGTGTTTATGGACCGCTGAAACACACTGATGAGACCGAGCTGACATCGGTGATCACATTTTTCTTCCCAACCTGACACCTTTTTTTTTTTGGACTGTGAGTTTAAAAATCAAAACCTCAGGGCTTTTTAAAATAATTTATTTATTTTATGTGTATTGGTGTTTTGCCTACATGTATGTGTTTGAGGGTGCCAGATCCCCTGGAAATGGAGTTACAGACAGTTGTGAGCTGCCATGTGGGAGCTGGGCATTGAATCCAGGTCCTCTGGAAGACCAGCCAATATTCTTAACCACGGAGTCATCTTTCCAACCCCCAAATCTCAGATTTTTAAAACTCACCACAACTAATTCAGAAATTCTGGTCTCCTTTTAGCTCATGAGGGAGATCATCCTATTCTGATATCTGTCAGGTTCTCAATTGAAAATAATATTTTCAAAAGCCAAAAGCCAGATCAGTGATATCTGAGGTGGAAGCAGGTAGGAAAGAGAAGCCTGGGGGAAGGGATGAGCTGTGAGAACAGTCAGAGTTCCTCTGCCTCCTACAATGTTTTGAATAATGAAAATATAGTTTTCATATCTGTATGTAAAAATATGCCTCCAAACCCTTAACTTGGTTTATTTTTATATTGTTTAATTAGCATAAAACTTTTGAAAATCATCCACAGGACAGTCTATATCTGTAAGGATTATAGATAGCATTTGAACCATTGAGAACTTACCTGTTCTGCTGAATTTAAAAAAAAAAAAAAGTGAAACCAGGGGCTGAGGCTGGAGGATCAAAGGTCAAAACCATCCTGAGACATCTAGTGAGTTCTGGACCACCCTGGGCTACACAGCAAGATTGAGCAAGTGAGCAAAAGAGAGACAGACAGAGAGACAGACAGAGGGGGAATCAGTTGATTGACACTGGGGTCTTCCTCTATCTTTGTATAACTTACCTTTTTTTTTTTTTCTCAGACAAGATCTCACGATGTAGCTCAAGCTGTCCTGGAACTCACTGTGAAAACCAGGCTGGCCTTGAACTCACAGAGATCCACCTGATTCTGCCTCCAGAGTGCTGGGATTAAAGGTATGCACCACCATGCCCAGCTTACAATTTATCTTTTGAGACAGGGTCTCTCACTGAACCGGAAACTCATTGATTCAGCCAGGCTAGCCTGGCCAGTGAGCCCCAGCCTGTCTCCAGCCCACCCTCGCCCTGCCCTGGGGTTACAGAGGCATGCCTGGCACCTGGCCTTTAGGTACAGGGGATGCAAACTCCGGCCCTCAGGCTTGTGTGGCAGTCACTCTCCTAACCAAGCCATCTCCTCAGCCCTAAGATAGTGTATTTCAGAGGATTTGACAGCATAGGCGAGTCTGTGTTACGGAAGTCATGTTTGAAGGCGGGCAAGGCAGTAACAAAAACACTCAGCCTCTGCTTTGGGCTTCGTCTCATAGGAAATGAAAGGGTTTAAGGCTGAGTACAAAAAGAATTTTGAACTGAAGTTCTTGACGTTCTCTCACAGAAGTTGGTGTCTCTAAATTCCCAGAAACTGGAATCAGCAAGTTCTGGGGAAGCCAGAGCATGGCCTCAGCAAAGGCTGAGAAGGACTGGCAGAAATCCACAGGCTGCAAAGCACAGCTTTGCCTGGCTGGGCAAGAGAAACCTTGAAGGAGGTGAGTGTCCCAGTTTAAAATGAACAGTGAATTTTAAAATCTGATCAACCTAGTAAACGTCGAAATTAATAAAATTTCATTTTAATGTAAATGCGTGAGCTATAGACACATAATGAGTCTTAAGGAAACCGGCAACCGGCACCGGCGGGGTATTTCTACCCTCCGAGTGAGAGAGAGTGAAGAGGGCACGCCCCGATCTGTCAAAGGCAAACACGCAGAAGTCTCAGTCTGGGAAAGCAGAGTGTTCATGCGGGCTGCTGTCGCTTGTCCAGCTCAAGACTTCATGTACTGCAGACACAGTTCCTGCCCTGAGCAATAACAGGCTGGTGGAAGCGGAGACCTAGCTCCACGACCGGAAGCACCGACGCCTCTATAGCTGTGATCATTTCTTGTATGCACGTTCCTACTTCCATCTTGTATTCACCCAACTCAGGGTGTAACAGCTGCTGGCATTGAAAATGTCTTTCTTCAGGAAAAGCTGAGGCTTCGATAAGTCTTTATAGGTGTGGAAGAGCCGGAAGTCCTTCCGCTCCAACTCCTTCAGGAGGCTGTACCAGAACCGCACCACGCTGCTCTCGCTGCCGCTGACCTCAAAGCCAGGCCAGTGGAGATGAATCTCAAAGATGAGCTGGCCGATCTGTTCAAGGACATCTTCCAGAATGAGATTTTCTAGTACTTTCCATTCCGCACTTTCCAAATCTGCCTTGAGAATATCAATCTGTAACAAAGCAACAAAATGGGAGTCTCAGATTTGGTCACTCACTATGTCACCTCCATATCATATCATACCATACCATATCATCATATCATACCATATCATACCATACCATATTATTGCTGGCTGGGGGGCCAGCCTCCAGACAGCTCAGGGTTCAATGGGAAATCCAGAGCCAGTGTGTACAATACTATGACTTTTCTATCTGAGGGAGTTAGGGAAAAAGACACTCACACACCCTCTTGATGGTTTTCTTCTTTATTCTTTTCTGTTCTTCTCCCTTCTACTATATACTTTTTTCTACAGCTTAAATACCCCAACAAAATCTTTCAGACAGTACAGGAGTCACAATGTGGTCACATTCCATTTTTCAGGTGAGTGATTATAATGAATACAGGTAAAAACATGTTTTTCATCTCCCTTACATGATTAAAAACAGAGTCATCTCGATAACCCACATACATTATTACATCTAAGTAACTCATTACACATTAACAGAACATAAGCAAGCAAGGACCATTTTTTTTTCCTCAGCCAAATCTTTTGTTGGCAGGCTGCATATTGTGGTTACAAAGAAAGAATCAATCATTTTATTATTTATCTTGAAAAGGAATCTTATAAGGAATCTTAAAGGAAACACAAACCTAAACTTTTATACATAAAAACAGTCAGCTGTACTCTGAATCTTCAGGGTACATGCCCATTCATCAGTAGTTTCTTATATCAGGAGATTGAAGGCAGGGATGGGCACAAGGAATCATCACCTTTGATCATCAACCAGACCTAGCAAGGAAAGTACGTCAGCTAGCAACAGTTGGGCTGCTTTGTATTTTCGACCCTAGCCTGATGAATCTATAACTCAGCTACATGTCCTTGTGAACTTCAGATTGTCTCCTGGGGTTAGTCATCTTAAAACTATTATCAAAGTATCTGATCTCACCTGAAGTTATTTCAAAGCTTTGTTTCAGCTGATAGTGCACACTAAAACCTGTGACTGGGTCTTTCAACATCAAGATTAAAGAAATTTGAGCCAACCTGCCTCCTGGGACTCAACCATTTTCCTTAATCATTAACCTCAACTGCAATCTATGCAGCTCCTTAGGTAAAACTCATAGGCCCTGGCTGTGTGACATTTCCTTGTATTTATTTTTATTCATCAAAAATCTGTATAGACTATCATTATTATTATCAATTAGGCCATACAGCTTAGGGAGGAATCATCTTCATAATGATCCACGGATAAAAATGCCCAGTAGAATGGGATGTTTCCATGAGATAAACACACTACATTACAGGCAGTGGGGATCTCCCCACACCCATTCACACCATGCCAGATACCAGAGAAAGATGGTAAGCAGCAGCAAACCTGTAAAGGCACAGCAGAGGCAAAAGACATTCCAGAGTCTGTGGTCTCAGGGTCTTGCCTCTGAGATTAACCCATTAGAGTTTCCTCCTGGTGGGCTGACATCTTGAACTTCAATTGCCACCAGCTGCTCCTCTAATATGGCCACCAGCACCATATCATATCATCATATCATACCATACCATACCATATCATATCATCATTATATCATACCATATCATATCATAATATCATATTATATCATCATATCACATATCATACCATATCATCATATCATGTCATACCATATCATCTCATATATACTTTATCATATCATCATATCATACCATATCATATCTTTCTCTAAAGGCAGCAGAATTTTTAAATTTTTAGAGTTAGAAGTCATTTCCAAGTGTCCACTTTAAAAATTTTTATTAAATATTTTTCACGCAATATATTTTGATCATATTCTTTCTTCTCCCTTAATTCCTCCAAGATTCTCCCCATCTTTCTACTAAAGACCAAAAAAAACAAAAACAAAAACAAAATAAATAAATAAACATTGCATGTTTTCTCCTATATATTGGTGCTAGCCTTTATGTTTTAAATATGTGTTTCAATCTGAATAACCAAGTAGCCATCTATGACATAAATTTCGAATCTGACTTCATACTGTTAATGAATACAAACAACGAAATGCCAGGCAGACATTACAATGGACCCTCTTGCTTTCTGCCCAATGCCAGCTGATGTTTAAGGAAGAAAAGCCAGAGCACATTCATCATAGAGCCCCATTCCCTACAGTCTTTCCTCACAATCTGCATGCTGCTCCAAGGAGCCCAGCCATGTTCTGATAGCATGGTGGTCACACAGAGGGAAGGACAGAGAGCCGTGCCTATAAAATCTTTCTCACAAATGTCACCCCTGGAATCTTCATTAGGATTTGAAGCCTAAGAAAGAAATTTTGGGTTTCTAAGTACTGGAATAATCATTTCATGATTTTCTTTTAAAACTATATCCCAGTATAGCGTTCTAAAACAAAACAAACAACAAGCTGTGAAACATATCCTATTTATTAAATGAGGTTTGCTTCCTAGACAAGATGGAATAAAGGATAATAAGATGGGAGAGATTATTTTGCAATAAAGTTATGAGAGTCAGCTTCTTTCTTCTGGCTTTGCACAAAATCTGTTGGAATAATAGAATCCCCAACGCCTGAAAGAAACAAAAGCAGGGTAGGTGTGGCTCCATGGCAGAGGCTTTCCCAGCAAGCATGAGGCCCCTAGTTTCTATGTCCAGCACCATAAAAAAAGCTACCAAGTCACTAATATGTTCCTGACCCAAGCTAAGTAATTCCCTTTGCAATGTCCATTTCATTACAGGCCAGCACTAATGAAGGGTAATCCTGTTGGTGATTGCAGTGGTTGGAATGAGAATGGCCCCACAGGCTCAGATTTGAATGCTTGCTCACCAGGAAGTGGCACTACTTGAGATAGATTAGGAGGTGTGGCCTTGTTGGAGGAAGTGTGTCACTGGGGGTGGGCTTTGAGGGTTCGAAAGCCCAAACCAGGCCCAGTGTCTCTCTCTTCCTGCTGCCTGCCTATCTAGAAGTAGAACTCTCAGCTCCTCTTCCAGCACCATGTCTGCCTGTGTCATCATGCTTCCTGCCTTGATGAGAATAGAAATTGTAAGCAAGTCCCATTTAAATGCTTTCCTTTATAAGAGTATTGGTGGTCATGATGTCTCTTCAGAGCGATAGAACACTGACTAAGACAGTGACCTTAATTACCATTTGTGAAAACAGACTCAGTGAGTAACCCACTCCAATCACACAGCTGGGAAGGCAGAAGTAAAATATGAACAGTCTGTGTGTCATATCATGCCTCTGTGTGTGTGTGTGTGTGTGTGTGTGTGTGTGTGTGTGTGTGTGTGTGTGTCTTGTGTGTCTGTGTATGCATGTCTATAAACATGTGTGGAAGCCAGAGGTCAGTATCTGGTATCTCTGCATCTTATTATTTTTTTCTCTATCTTATTATTTTTTAAGATGGGGTCTTTTGCTAAACCTAGAGTTCATGTTTGGGGCTAACCTGGCTGGTTCAGAAATCATCCCATCTGCACCCCAGGGATTGTAGATGCCACCACATCCAGCATTTATATGGGTGCTGGGGGGTCTCAACTCAGGTCCTCATGATTGCACAGAGGCACATCACCAATTGAGCCATCTCTCCAGCTTCCCATATGTTCTTAATCATGAAAGAGTATTATAATGGTGATATTTTATTTGTGCTGAAATATGACATTTTATTTGTATGTTAATAAACAAAGTTTGTCTGGAGATCAGAGGTCATAGCCAGCCATAAACAGAAGTCAGGTGGTGGTAGCATATGCCTTTAATTGGATCACATGGCAGACAGAGTCTCTCTCTGTGTTCAAGGACACAGCCAAATGTGGTGACACACACCTTTAATCCCAGTACCAACCATAGAGACCTGGAGGTCTGTATCGACAGGCAGTGATGAGGAAGTGAGGTGGCTGGGTTAAGAGCCAATGAGAAGGCAGAACAGGAAGGCAATAACGGCACAGGTTAGACAGGAAGAGGCTCTTTTGGGAAGCTACGGTGACGTGGTGAGCTAAGGTTAGTTGGTGGCTATCACTCTGATTTCTAGGGCTTTCACCCCTGTATTTGGCTCTGTGTTTCTTATTTAATAAGACTGTTTAGAAATTCATCTGCATATTACCCTTCCAGTAAGCCACAAAAGGAAAAAGCAACAGCATTCCAAGATGCTTTGGCCTTAGAAAATCAAGCGCTGTTGGGAGAGAGAATGTGGGTCAGTGAGGTACTTGAATCAGTATCATTGAATTTTCAGAGTACTTTTGAAAATGGGTAATTTCACCCCAAGGAAATTTGACAGCATCAGGCACAGTGAATACTGGAAAGGAAGGAAACATTCAAAGGAACAAAGACTGGAGTCCCAGGCACTTCGACCCCCCAGGAAGCTGCTGGCCAGAGTCCCTAAGATCTGGCTCTGCAGAAGTGAGGCTGTCTTTGCAGGTTATCAACATGGATGGACAACACCAAGTCCAGTCCTGCCCACTTTTTGCTGTCTGTGCTGTCTGTTTGTTAAGTTTTCTGGATGCTGTTAGCATACGAGAGGCCTTGGAGGCATCCTTGAGTGATTTCAGAGTTGCATGCAGGAGAAGGTGCATAAACACCACATATAATTGCTCCAAGAAAGTAGGCTTTGCCTGATGTCCCAAGACCTGCAACACACGCTTGCCACTCTTGACTGGATGTCCTGGGACCAAGAACGGAGAGACCTCAGGAAAGTCAGTGTCTGCAAACTGGCTGGGAGTCAGTGGTTTCAAAACAAACGGAAGAGGTGAGAAACAACATTTTTCTTCAAGAGTAACTGAGTGAAGACAGGTTTCATGGGAATATGGGCTAGGCTAAATTAATTCTCATGAAATGGACCCAAGGGAATTACCTCCCTCCATTCTACTTCCCAGCTGCTTTGGCACGCCTCTAGCTTTGTTTAATCTTGGCAGTTTTAGGCATAATCCTCCTGGATTAAGGGTAATTAAGCTGTCAAAAGAAATATTTAATCAAAATTTCACAAAATGTCCTAATTGGTAGAGAATACACCCAAAATTCAAAGAGCAA